AATGAGCAGCACGTTGCACTTTATTATACTAATTTTTAATGAGCTACAAAACTGCAAATAAAATTTTTTGTAAAGATTCTGATTTTAACGAAACTTCGCAGAATTAATTTTCATGGTTTTTGCAAAAAGTCGGAAATTTGGATTTATATGGTTTTTTTTGGGACAAGAGACGTTGAGTCCTAATTTATATTTTGCACACTGTATGTGTTCCCCAATTTGAAGCACAGACATTCAAATTTGAAAATCATAACTGTTTATGGAGAAAATTACGATCATATACCAACATCACTTAAAACTGGTTCATAGGCACGCCATTTTAATGAGCTGTCAAGCCGTGGAAATGCCGAACACTGAATACGACATTGAAAGAAATACAGAACATATTGCGTAAAAAATTACCAGGACAATTGGTCAAAAATCAGGACAGTCCCGTATAATACAGGACGGATGGTCACCGTACTCATGCGTCATGTGCGAGTATGTCCATGTTCGACATGGCGTATGAGTAACATTATTTCCAGCATTTCACTTTTTAAAACGATGGATAAATACCATCGATTTTCATCGTTAGTAAACGTGATTTTTGGGAAAAGAACGTGCTTTAATACAGATGAACAAAATTACAAAAGATTTGTTATTTTTAAAATATTTTTCTGTTAAAATTAGAATTTCCTTTTATAAAAAAATTGATTTTATACAATATATTGCGAAAATTACCTGGTATGGACTAATCTACGACCCGATATTAAGTTTATGTATTTCGGCGTTTTTTGTGTCCGAAGAGTGATGTTTGCTGCCTTATAGAACCGAAATTGAACTCTTAATATGAACTTTTGAATATTTTGAAAATTTATGAAATGCATATTTTAAGGTTAAAGCTACGGAATCGCCTGCAACAAGAAATACGATAGCTCTATTAAATGCATTTTATTAATGATTATTTAGAGATAAAATTGTTTATTGCTTCAAAATCTTCGCTTCGAACCATGTTAGTAATATGTACATATGTATGTTGGGGTGGTCCTTAAATGTATTAAGCGAATTTTAACATCAGATTTCCTAAGTCGAAGATATCATTTATAAATTTTGGCCCCCTTTGGTGACGGTTAAGGCGTGGCACATAGGGGTCAAAATTCAGATTACCCTATGAAGACGTCTTAACCGTCTCCAATCGGGACCAAAATTTGTATGTGATATGTGTGACCGCGGTATTACCGATTGAAGGGGTGAAACTGAAAAAAAATCGCTCATTTGATTTTTTTAAGGACCACCCTAATGTTTGTATTTATTTCTAATTTGAAAATATACAATTTCGTATGTTAAATCACTGCGCTTCAATGCAATCTTAAAGCAAATGTTTCACTGTTGAATACGACTTATTGTGTTCAATATGGTTATAATTATTTAAATTTATTTATTTTTTCTAATTGTTGACACCACATGCCCAATACATAGCAGATAGAAGTTTTCTGAGAACTTGTTAAAGAAACTATACTCGTTAAGCATATTTCACGTTCTCTAATTGTAAAATATTTTAAATAATAAAATACATATGTACATATGATTTTCCCCCACTTTTTGCCTAGGTACATTGGAATGTTTCTATAAGACTTTTGTTTTCAAATTCACTTTTATTTTTTAGCTAATAAAATATGTATTAATTCTAGAAATACAGATTGTCTTGTAAATTGTGCCAGTTTTGTTTTTTAAGCCTTCCACTTGACTGCAACAATATTTGCAAAATTGAGGAAAACAATAGGGAAATGTGCTTGTTATTTGCTTAAAGAGAAATTGTTATTGTTTCATTGTTTTTATGATGCTGGACAGCAAAGCATGGACAAAGATGCGTGTATATATGGACATATATATTTTTGATGTACATATTTACATACATGTATATATATACACATATATATATATAAAATACATGTTTGCATGCAGCCTTGTTTCGAAACACACTGTGTAACAAACTTCAGTCAGATGAAATATTAAAAAAAAAAATATTACATATTTTCATCAAAATTTCAACTTTGTATTCTGAATTTTTGCAGGGAAATGCAGTTTTATAGCCCATACAATTTAAATCTAATTAAGTGCAAGTTTCAAACGGCTTAAAATTCGCGTAGATTTTTGAGAATTTTTTTTTTTGAGGCTACTTTTTCGGGTTTTTTAATATAACAACCGCAATTTACAAAAACTTGCGTTGATATTTGGAAATTTTATTGCTGACGGTCTCCCGCGTTTTATTCCATAAGAAATCCATACTTATATGAAAAAAAAAGTGCAAAAAACCGTCACCGAAAAAAAATCTCAAAAATCATCACGATTTTTTAGCCGTTTGAAACTTCCACTTCATTAGACTAAAATTGTATGAGCTATGAAACTACATACCAAAAAATTTTCTTAAATTTCAGAATAAAAAGTTGATGTTTTATGAAAATTTTGGTGAATTTTTCTAAATTTTGAACAAAGTTTGAAACTGTGATTTACACGGCTTTGGTTAAAGCTTAGAAAATTCAAAAAGTTGAAATTTTGATGAAAATTTGTTGAAACAAAAAAAAAATCTCTAAAATCAACGGTATTTTCTAGCCACTTGAAACTTACACTTAATTATACTTAAATTGGATGGGCTACAAAACTGTATACTAAAACTTTTTCTAAAAATTCTGAATCAAAAGTTTAAAAATTTGATGAAAATTTGTCGAATTTTTATAATTTTTATTCAAAGTTTAAAAGTCGGATTTATATGATGTTCCTTGTTTAACTACCTAGGCTTTTATAAAAAAAAAAAATACTTAACATAAAATAAACTAAACAAATCTAAGCAAAACTCTTCAAAGTAACGTGAGTCCATTATTTCTGCCGCCACTGTATATGTATGTATGGCATTGGTATTTTACGTCTACGTTTACACAAATATATGGAACTATATCAAATTATAACAAATTTGGAGTGTACTAAATATTTATTAGGCGTGTTTTTTACACGCATACGTATCTGCGCCTAAAAATTGTATGGAGCTGTAAGCGAAAAATTTTATGTTGTCGATAAAATCAAAATTACTTGTTTTGAAATGGAAATTGTAGATGATTTTTTTTTTACACGTTAATCGTAGATGTATATGCCTGTAAAAAACACGGCTATTATTAATAACAATAATGCAGCCTTTTCCACGATTTTAAATTTTGTTCCGACAGCATAAACTCGTCATAGAGTATCTGTACGAATCTTCATTACAAACGGATTCAATGAAGGCTCTATACGAATTTCGAATTTACGTCCATAGCCATTCGGATTCCGTGATTCGTAGATTTAATGAAAATCGAAGGTACGATGGATTCTGTGATTGCCCTGACATGCCAGCACCTTGAAAGAAAATATTCCGACTAAAAGTTTAATCGCTAAGTGCCACTGGGGTCGCAATATTTCTCTACATAAGAGAAGAGGAGGAAGCATTTCTCTCTAGCTGTTCCATTCCAACGTAACTTAACCGATTCAAATTTATTAATAATTTTTATTTGTTTTCACACATCTATTTTGATCTACGCGTATAGCCTCTTCATTGCCATTTTAACCAAACTAGAAAAACCCAAAACTAGAAAAAATTAGCTTTTTGCCTAAAATAAAGAGTCAAATTAAGATTTGTAACAGCGTATTTATCTGTTCATCATACGCCGTGGATAACGTTAGGGAGCACAAATTTCTCCATGCGCATAAGTTTAATTAAAAGCGTATGCGTGCAGTACAAAAAAAAATTATATTTTTTGCTATTTGTGTTGAATAGTGTGTCTACTCGGTCGGTTCACATAGATACATATGTACCCATCCATATACATAAAAGCAGTGTATCCTTGAACTCCGTCAAAAGGGAAAATCATCACACAACTACAATTTAACTATTTCATTATACATATATGAATGTACGTAGGCAAATATGTATGTGGCTATATATGTACATGTGCACATAAAAAGCGAAAAATAAGAAGGGTAAATATATTATATAGATGGTAGAGATTGTGCCGAAGCTGCTGTCCGAAAGTCACAATAAAAACAGCAAACAAAAAATTTGTGAACACTAAATTTCAAACAAAGCATATTCAAATGTCAAAAGCACACATGACTACCGAAAGACAAATATTGTTTTGTATATATGTACATATATATGAGTATGCGTGGTGAAGTTCCAAAATCAGCTGCTCAACAGACAGCTAGGTCGCGCCCATTTGGCAGCAAAGCGCCGTTAGGTATGTATGTAAATAGTACTGAAAACCAAAAATTAACAAACAGCAAACACCAAAAGATAAAACACAAATATAAGCCAAAACATGTATGTATGTATATTAAGGTGCGTCACTCTCCATAAAAAAAAAATCGGTACTGTTTTTCCATCGGATTCATAAAATCTATTATATTTTGCGTCTTTTGCAAAAATATTTCAGAAAATTGATTTTAAAGTACCTGCAAGAATATAGTTTTTTTATGTTTTATATGAACATATTTATTAGAAAGTTTTGACAAACGTTTTTTTTTCTAAAAAATCACTTCGGATGATAGAAGAGATTTAAGCTTAGAATATCTTTGCAAATCGAATATTTTTCCGAAAAATATTTTAGCGGATATCTTAAAATATAATAAATTATATAATTCCGGTGGAAAAAGTGCAACTTTTTTTTGGTGAGGCACCCTAATGGATATATGTATGTATGTGTATGTATATGACAAAACCCTAGACAATAGCCGCAAGAACAAACTCAAGCACAGCAGATAATATAAGTAAATTCGCCGAAATGGCGTTCACAACAACAGCTACTTCTACTAGTATATTAATTTGTTGTCCACAATAATTCGTTGGCAAACACAACAAAGCAATCATAGCAACAAAGCCGCAACACAAAACAGCAACAGCTGCAGCAGCATTAGCAACAAACAAAAGAAAGGGCGCAATTGCGCTGCACGAACTCACCGTAAATCTTGAAGGCATAAAAAACTTTAATGTCTCTCGGCGCCTGCTCGCTAAACACAGACAATGCATCGAGGAAATCTTCAAAGGATAAATTGCCCTGACCATCACGTGAGAAGGCTTCACAGATGCGCCGTCGAAAGGGGTTTTCGCGCAGTTCGGGCATCTTCTCGATGCATTCGCACGGCACCTTGACACTGGATGCTTGGCCCTCGGTCATTTGGCGTGGCACCAAATCGGGACGCAGCTCACGAAAACGTTTATGAACGCTAAGCGAAAAAAAGTAAAAAAAAATAATAAAGAACAAAGAAGCGGCAGGAATTAGTAACAATATACATATGTAAAGGAGGAATAAAATTTGGCGTCTGCCAGCAGCAGCAGCGCCAGCAAGCGTGGGAGGCAATGTGCTTTAAATTCTGCGCTGTTTTCTTAGTCGCATAAACATTTTTGGCAATTTTCCGATAATCCGAGACATTAAGCTCCACTCCAGTAGTTTGATGTGTGTTCGGACATTAATGTGTTGCTGGCTCGCCTTTCCAATTGATAAGGAAGCTTACCACTATAATGACAATATTTTCTGGAATGCTAGCACTCCTTCTGGCACGGAAGCGTAAATGTGCATGCAAAGCTTTGCTGCGACGCGAAGGAAGAAGAAAGGAATTTCTAACTAGGAGAAGGCTGAATATGCGAACAATAAAGCGATTTCAAAAGGTTGCAAGGCAAACAATGCAATGCCACGCGAACAATGGCGAATGTGAAAATTATGAGCGCATTTCGCTGTCAATGTTGAGGTCAGTGCGAAGCTATGCATTTAGTCTAATAGGAGGAGTGGGGGCAGATAAGCACATGCTGCATTATCTCTATTTTATTTTAAAATTTACCATCTTAAGTTTAAATTGGAAGATTCACTATTTATGGTTTATACTTTTGCATTAACGCAATTTGAGAGCATACCTGAAATTGGCCTTTGGCCTTAAGTTTCAATTGTAAGATTGTGCGTACATGCGTGGAAATCGATAAGGTTGTAAAAGAGTTCAAAGCATTAAAAAGTAAGGAGGGATCGGACGCAAAGCGCTTGATGTGAATTACTTTTCGATTTGTATGCAAATAATCGAAGATCTACATATGTATACTAGGGTGGTATTAAAAAATACCAACACATTGGGTCACTCTTTCATTTTATTATACAAAGACTTCCAAGAAAATTTCAAAATTTTAAACAAAATTAGTGGTTGAAAAAAATTTTATTTTCTTAAATTGCAAAAATTCGTTAAAATTTTTACTTTGGTCAGCGAGTTTATGAATTTAAGCCGTCAAAATAAATAATTTTGTAAAATTGAAGAAAAAAAATGTTTTTTTTTTTTTTAATCCTGGTAGGAACACCAAATTTTGGTTTAGTTTTGAAATTCTTGCGGTTGTCTTTATTTTGTACGCAGAATTGGGCCGAGCTGCTCCTCCAATTTGGAGACTGCCTATTGATGTTTTTATACAAATGGAGGGACTCACAGTTATTTGCCGCCTCCGAATGGCAAATGGGACTACGTATGAGCAGCGATGAGCCGGTAAAGCATCCCTTTGCTGTCAGTTTTCCTTTTAACCTACTGCAAGGGGAAGTCTCTGCGGGCGCAAGGTGGGAAGATTGCACCAACGTACTGGAAAATAGTCGTCTGGCATGGGTGACAAACTCTTGAAACCTTTCAAATCCCTGCGACTGAAAAGCATCATTCTTTGTAAATGGCTGTGTCGATGTGGTATACATAGGTGTCTGGCTTCCATCTACTGATGTTGCGGAGTGTTGCTTATCGCGAAGGGCGGAAATAGCTCACTTGTTTTATTTAGAAGAGATTCAGGTCAACTAGTCTGTCTTCGTTTCTGCCAAAGACACTGGAGATACAGATTGATCTGCACATAAGAAATTGGTTATTTCGAGATCGTCTATGTAAAACCCACCATGTTTACAATAAAGGAAGACTGTTAGAAATCACCCTGCGTACAATTAGAAAGCGTTTAGAGGAAGCCTTTACTCATAAAAATGTTCAAGTAGCATAGTTCCTCGACATCGAAGGGATTTTAAATAACAGCATCATACCGGAGGTGGTAGGTAAATCACTAGATAAGAACGGGGTTGTAAGAAACCTTTTTGGGGTATTCACACCTATCTGGTTATCATGTTATCTGATACACTACTTAGACAGCTAGAGCGGGTACAACGGGCAGCCTTCAGTGACCTATTGCATACCACTTCCACTCTGGTGCTTAAGGTCATACTGAACAAAATATAAGCTCTCATTAAAAAAAAAAACCTTTTTTTAAATTAGATGTTGCTCGGGAAAGGGATTGAACCCAGATTCTGCGAAGTGGGCCTAACAAACCTAGCGTGTGGTATGCTCGAATAGAGAAAAGTAGCTATAGGGAGGGATGGATGGAAGCTTGGCGAACTGTTCATCAAGTGTATCCATTAAAGAAGCAGTAGACACGCTGGTCAAGAGTGTAAATTCAATAAGGGAGGTAATCTACTCAAATAGCCAAATAGAATTCAGCATGCTAAGTCCACTGATAGTGCCCTCAAAATTGGCTAGAGATTGCCGGAACTCCCTCTCAAATGCGTCGCTGAGTGTAGGTAACCGTTGGAGGCGTCATGGACTACCGGCCATTCACTCTGAGATAGACGGGCCTCACGTCAGCTCTGTGTATGCTGGGTGAGTGGATCAGAGCCCGTCAAAAGGAGTTCCATTTGCTTACAGTCACAAGTTTCCATTGTGATGGGGTTTCTGACAGGTAGCGGGTCCGCCATGAGGCAAAAATAATATCTGACCGTTACTCAAAAATATGCATGATTGTACATGGGGCATATAGGCTGCGTTGTCGCACTTTTAGGACGAATTGTTATTAGAAAGAAGATATACGCTGTTAATCAAGAGAATGTCTAAAATGTCTCCGTAAGTATGATCCCAACACAACATACTACAAATGCCATCTGCTGACTTAGCAGAATAGCTTTTTTCCACGAGGTCACCTCAGTTCAGAATGGACGGGCATCGTAGTATGGCGTCATTTTTT